ACACAACACACGTGCGCGCGCACACGTTTGCACGTCTCCTCTGAGCACCGGGAGAGCTCCACCCCTGCAATCAACTCCTGGGAAGGCACCAAAATGCTATTTCAGGGAGGAGACCGAGGCAGCCTTGAAGACTGGACTTTGGCTGGCAGCAGAAACACTAACCACACGGTGGACAAACAAACCAAGTAGCGCCCAAATGCCGCCACCCCAGACGAGGGCGCCAGCCGCGGGTCCCCCCCACCCCACCCCTTCCTGGAGCCCGGGCGCCAACGGTCGCAGCCTACAGATGCAGAAGTGGCCGGCTGGGGAAGGAGAGAGGGGAGCCCCGGAGGGAGAGCAGCGTTTCAATAAAAGCCAGACTTGGTGAAGCTCAGCTCTGGGAACGCGGCGTCCCACGACCTCAGCACAGTCGCGAGGGAAAGAAATATGTGCACAGGAATGAATAAGAGTGACCCCCGGGCGCTGATTTCCCGAAGCGGGGCCGGGACTCTGGGTTAGGGGAGGGGGCAGCGAGTGGCCTACCTGTGATCCGGTCTCTCTCCATTACTACGGATATATTTAGCAGCAGGCGGTCCCGGCGTCCCCCTTTCCAGAGGCGTCCTCCCCTTCTCACCCCCGACGCCCTCCCTCTTTCTGCCTCCTCCTCCTCCTCCTCCTCCTCCAAAAACACTCTTTGTCTGGTCTAATTTCTTCAATCTGTTGCAATCACGAATGCATCCAAATTACCACATTTCCATGTGCTGATCATATGTTTGTGCCCCAAACTGAAGTAGCATTGTCTCTTGGAACCCGGAGGGAGAAGGGACCCGAGGCAGAGCCGAGAGGCGCGGAGGCGGGGCGGGGGCCGGACGTGGGACGTGGGCCGCGAGCCTCCCGCAGCAGCTCCTCCCGCGGCCCGGTCCCGGCCGGACCGCCGTCTGGGCTTTGTGCGCGGGGCTCCAGAGGTGCGGCGTGCGGCTTCGGCTTCCGGAGGCCTTCTCTCCACCCCCTCCAGCCCCGCCGCCAGGCCTGCTGCTCCTTTTTAATATCCACTTGGAGAAGCTTAACTTAGCCTCTTGGAAACCAGCTCACAGTCAAATTCCTGGCGACTTCCAAAGTCTTTCATTTTCCCCCGTCCCGAGATGCTACGTTTCCTCTGGTGGAAGCCTTAGAAAAGCCTAGTTTCCTCCTGCGTGCCCGCCTCGCCTTCCCTGCGCTTGGGGGGCGGGGGGGTGCACCCCACTCTGACCCCGGACTTGGCCCCAAGGAGGCAGGCGGCCAGGGAGGGCTCCGGAGCACCTGCCCCGACGACAATGACGACAATGACTACGAGGAGCCCGGCAAAGGTGCCCCTGTGGCCGTCCTGTTGGAGGCGGTGACATAGGCCACTGGCCGTCCCACCCAGGGGGGGGGGGGCTGCGGCGGGCGCGAGGGAGACTTCCTGGAAGGTCCCACTGACTCATGAGTCAGTGCGTCCCCAGCTGTCCCCGGGGAGGGAGCCTGGCTGCTCAGCACAGTTCCCCACACTCAGCACTTCTCTGGGAGGGGCCCCCCCAAGGCCTGGCGGTGGGGGGGGGCCTCAGCGGCTTCCTGCACTTCCCTGGGGTCCTCTGGGGCCCCGTGGGGCTCCTCCCCGGGCAACCTCGGGACCCCACCAGCACCTGACCAGAGTCCGTCAGAGCTGGGGGGCCAGGGGGAGCACCCCCTCTGCTCTTCAGGCTTCTTTCCTTCCGGAGCTCAAAACTGGCGGCCCTTGGCCCGAGACACAGAAGCAGGTTTTGTCTGCCAGACCCCATTAAAAGAAAACGCACATTGGTGCCCACGTGTCAAGGGAAGCTCAGGCGATTTTGCTGGGAACTCCAGATGTCCCAGTTCTCCTGCAAAAGGGGGCATGTGGCCACAGGGGCTGGTTTGAAGAGCAACCCTCGGATGGGGCCCCTCCTTGGATGAAACCGCATTGGCCGGTTTGCTCTGATTTATCCTGAGTTTGCATCCCAGTCCCATAGGGTCCCACATGGCCACATAAGCATGTGTTACGGGGGACGGGGCGGGGGGGGGGGTGGCGCGGGGCAGGGGGGGCTCCGTGCACACCTGCTGGATGGTGCCGGCAAAATTCCCATCCCCTCCTGCCTGGGACAGGACCCCAAATGTGGTCTCCCTTGTAGCCAGGGTGTCTCCTTGGGGGTGGGGGACACCAAGTAGCAACCATCTCCCCACCCCCACCCCCAAGCCGAGCCTGGGGCTGGAAGCCCCAGAAGTGGCCTGTATGCTGAGGGAAGGTGGGGGGCGGTTTCTCAGCCAAGGGAGGTCCCAGACAGGCTGAATGACAAGATATCACATCCTAATCCCTGTAAATGGGACCTTTTATTTAGAGTCTTTGCAGACTGGATTACATGAAGGATCTTGAGACGGGGAGATTAGCCGGGATTATCAGGCTGGGCCCTAAATGCCATCCCCTGCCTCCTGCCTCCTATAGGAGGGAAGGGTCGATGTACAGACACGGGAAGGGATGCGAAGGGAGAGCGGAGACAAACTTAAAGGCCCCTGCTTTGAAGGCTGGATGCAGCCACAAACCGAGGACCCCACAGTCCCCCAGAAGCAGGAAGAGGCCAGGAAAAGATCCTCTCCGGGAGCCTTCGGAGGAGCCGCGCGCAGCCCTGCCCACACCTTGATCTCAGACCTCCAGCTCCAGAACCTCGAGAGGATGCACTTGTGTGGTGGCAAGCCACCATGTCCCTGGCCATCCGTTCCAGCCCCCCCGGGGACCCACCCAGACACCACGGGCCAAAGGCCAACGTCCCCGTAACACGTCTTCTGGTCATTCTATTTCGTTCTGTTTGTTTGTGTCTTAAATATTTCATTATTCATTCATGAGAGACACAGAGAGAGAGAGAGGCAGAGACACAGGCAGAGGGAGAAGCAGGCTCCCTGCGGGGAGCTTGATGTGGGGCTCGATCCCCAGGCCTCAGGATCACAACCTGAGCCAAAGGCAGACGCTCAACTGCTGAGCCACCCAGGTGCCCCCATTCTATTCCCTTCTAAAAACGTCCTGTTCAACCAACCACTAACAATCCTTGCATTAAAACAATGGGAATCATGGAGATTTTTGTTGTTGTTGTTTACTCATTAAATCTCTTTCCTGACTTTGAAAAAGTACTCTTTACTGGTTTTTCTGATTGTAAACATAATATCTGTTCATTGTATTGAATTTAGAAACGACAGAAAACACATAAAGAAGCAGCCCTATGGGGCAGCCGGGTGGCTCAGCGGTTTAGCGCCACCTCCGGGGCGTGATCCTGGGGTCCTGGGATCAAGTCCCGGGTCGGGCTCCCTGCGTGGAGCCTGCTTCTCCCTCTGCCTGTGTCTCTGCCTCTCTGTCTCTGTGTCTCTGATAAATAAATAAGTAAAATCTTAAAAAAAAAAAAAAAAGCAGCAGCCCCTTTGATACCACGTGGGACTCTCTCCGGCACCAATCCCCACCGGGCAAGCAGGTCCCAGAAGGCCCCACAGACAGGCCCGCCGGTGGAAATTCTGGGGAGGCCGGGCCCTGGCTGGTGGTGGGCCCTCCCGCAGGCGCCGAGCGCGCAGGCTGTGATTTCCCTGCTGTAGCTGGTACAGCTGCCGAGCACAGCTTTGACCCTGGGTTCTCCCCCGGCATAGTTTGGCTCAACGTCCATTCCCCCAGCCATGCCTAAAAATCCAAGCATTCTGGCCCAAGCAGGGGATAATTTGAAACCAGAAACCTGGCAGCGCCGATTGGCTCCAGTGAGGCCGGGGTTAGTCATGAGCCAGCTCAGAGCCCAGGCGCAGAGGTGGGGTGAGGCCAGGCCGTGGGAGAAGGGGGCAGCCAACCCCCCTGCCGCAAACCGAGGGCCAGTCTAGGCACCAGCACTCTCCACTCAGGGGGAGGAGGGGGCGACTGGCCAGGCCAGGCCAGGCCGGACCTGCATCCCCAAAGTGGGTTCCCCACGTGGCAGCATCCTCCACTGACAGGGCTCTGCGGTTACATAAAACTAGATGCCTGCCTTAGATTCCTCCGGCACATTAGCATAGCAAATGTGGTGAGTTGTCCCTGTGAGGGGGCTGGGGCTTCCTTCAACCCAGCACTTCCCAAATTGGACCGACACCTGCCATCTGGGGGAGGCAGGACACCCCCCCACCAACCGGCAGGACCCGGCTCCCAGCCACCGGCCCACGTCCCCGGGGTGGGCACCGTCCGTGAAGCACACCTGCACGTCCCCCACACCCAGGAGGGAGGGGACACCCAGGTAAGGGGTGTCCCCAGGGTGCCCTGAACTCCCGCCACCAGGCCAGGAGGATGCTTCTGCGGATGTGGGCAGCGTGGGCCCCAGGAAGGGGTCGGCAGGACCAACCCGTGGACTTGTCTCCAGTGCGCATTCTGAGGAGGGGCCCTGAGGAGGTGGGCGAAGGGGAGCCCGGCCGAAAGGAGACTTCCTGAGGCTCTGGGCTTAGCCTCCCGGCCCCCTCTCACCCCCCAGCGCCGAGTCCTCCATAATCAGCTCCAAGCTACGGGGAACTCGCTCTAAAAAAGAAAAAAAAATGACTTTTCCATTCATTTCCTGCTCATCCCCAGACTCAACGGCTGACGTCTGCTTCCCGGAGTTAAAAATAAAAGAGCTGCACCCCGACCCCCACAGGCCAACCCCTGGCGCCGACCCTCCGCAGCCGCTGCTACGGTACCCACCAGCGGGGCGGCCGCACCCTGGGCCGGCGGATCCTGGGCCGGTGGATCCTGGGCCGGGCCGCCTGCGCTCCTCTCACGAAGCTTCTCTCTGCTTCTTACTGTGCAGCAAGTTTCGGCTGCTCCTAAATCAACACAACGCAGCTACCGTCTGCCCTGGGGACGGCGGCGGGGGTGCCGGTGCCGCCTGGGCCAACCTGCGCCAGAGAAGGGGCCCAGACGGGCCGGGTCCCGCCTGCACGGCCCCCGCGCTCAGCCACCCATCCCGGGCCGCAGCCAGGCCGCAGCTGGCACCGTGCGGAGCAAGGGGACCCACGGGGTACGCGGGTCAGAGTCCCCGGGAGAGCCTGCCCCGGGGCCCCCAGGTTGGAACCCCCCCCCCAGGAGCAGGTGTCTCTCACTCGCCGGGGGCCCAACGTCCTGCCTGCACACGAGGCGCCCTACAAACGCTTGCTGGGTGAACAGCGGACTTGAGGACCTGAGGACCGCGCCATGGACCGTCCAGGCCAGCACTCTCCAGCGGAACTTTCTGCGACACCAACGTTCTCCATCTCCCACCTCCAACAGGGCAGCCACGTGTGCCCACTGCGGAACGGGTGTGCCGCCCCCCCTGCTCCCTGGGGCCACCGCATGCTCCACGAGTTTCTTCACCAGAAGACAAACAAGGAGAAAAGCTACTTTTCAGCCAAGGCAAAAAAAAAAAAAGGCAGATACTTCTATTTTAAGCTTGTCCTCTGGCCGGTGGTCCCCAGCTTGTCCTACACCAAGCTCAGTCCAACAACATTTACAGCCTGCCAGCTGGCTGTCGGAAGAACATCCAGCCCTATGGGGGGGGGGGGGGCAAGGCCAACCTGCTAACGGAGATGGGACAGGTGGGGTCAAAGTCACCCCAGAGAGACGATGCCTTCGGCGGTGACAAGGTGCAGGGCCGATCCTGGAGCTGTGGCCGTGGGAAGGAGGGAGGAGGCGGGAGCGAGAGCCCAGGAGAGAGGACAGGAAGTGCGGTTTATCCTGCAGGGACAAGGGGACCGAGGGTTCTCTAAGTAAGAGGCCCAAGACGGGTCTGTTTGGAACCATCACGTGGATGGAGCCTACGGCCCAGTCCTGGGCACACAGGCGGGTCTCAGTAAATGCCACTGCACGCTGATGGGAGCAGAGCAGCCTCCCTGAGGAGAAGGGGTGCGGGTGAGGAGGGACACTGAGGCTTGACCAGGCCCAGGCCACGAGGCCACCCATCCAAGGGTCATGTGGGGGGACGAAGAGGAGTTGATAAGATCTCGGTGACCTGCTGACCTGAGGGTGCCGGGCGTGGGACAGAGGTCAAGGACGACACTGAGGTTTCTTGCTTGAGGACCGGGGTGGAGAACCGGGCTGACACACGAGACATGAGAGAAACAACGGAGGAGCAGGTGTCAGTGGGTGGGCACAGCGGCACCAGCGAGGGGTGCCTGTGGGGGCCCAGGGCGAGCCCCAGGGGCAGCCGGGCCCCGGCAGTGTCTTCCTCGACCACCCCCGTCACAGAAGCACACTCTCCCCCTTTAGCCCACGCGGCCGAGACGATGGCAGCTGGGCCCTGCAGACAGCAGGGTGTCCTGGCGGGAGGTTGAGGTTCACGGGGCCTGGAGCAAGGATGGAGGTGGGGGGACCCAGGGAGCAGCAGGAGCATCCGCTAGGGGATCCCGTAGGGCCCCTGCTCGTGAGCGGAAAGGGAAGAGACGCAGCCCAGACAGCAGCGTTTCGGGGAGATCCTTCGGTGGGTAGAGGGTCGTCCACCCGCAGCAGCCCGCGGGGCGGAGCAGGCGCTTCCTGGGGCTGCCCCGACAAACCACCACCAACCGAGAGGCTTTAAAACAACAGAAACTGATCTCTTCCCAGCTCTGGAGGCAGAAGTCCAAACTGAAGGTATCGGCAGGGCCACGCTTCCTCCGGCGGCTGCGGGGAAAACCCCTCCTGTGTCCTCCAGCTCCAGGCCCCGGCGTCCCCGGGCTCGTGGCCACCTCACTCCATCTCTGCCTGCTCCCCTGCGTGCCTGTATCTGTCCCCTTCTTGTAAGGACCCCAGCCATCGGGTTCAGGGGCCACCCTAATTCCAGCAGCATCTCACCTCAAGATCCTTAACTAACTAACTTGAGTTAACTAACTAACTCAAGACCTATTTCCAAGTCAGGCCACTTTCTGAGGTTCTGGGTGAACATGAATTCTGCGGGGGACGTTATTCGGGACCCTACAGAAGGGATGAGATGGGATGCCCGGGGGGCCCAGTGGTTGAGCATCTATCTGCCTTTGGCTCAGGGCATGATCCCGGGGTCCTGGGATCGAGTCCTGTGGGAGCCTGCTTCTCCCTCTGCCTGTGTCTCTGCCTCACTCTCTGTGTCTGATGAATAAATAAATAAAATCTTAAAAAAAAAAAGAAGAAGAAGAAGAAGGGATGAGGCCACCAACCCCAGAGCACACCGGATGTCAGGGCAGAAGGAGAAGGCTCTGAGGGATCCCAGCGGGGACGGTGGGGCAGGCTGGCTGGGCCAGGCCGCGGGAGGTGAGGACGCTGACCGAGGCAAGTGCTGTGGGAACCAGGACAAAGGTTGGCCGGGGACCGTGGCCTGGAGGCAGCTGCCCAGAAAGGCTGTGGGAGGCCCAGAAAGTCGGTGAGCGTGGGAGACCAGACTGGAAGGCCACTCCGGCGGCCTGAGTGTGGGCATCATCTGCCTGCGGACACACACGTATGCACGGGGCACGTGAGAACGTTTCCGGCAGCATCTGTCACAGAGGAAAGCTTCCGTGGGCCTCCAGCAACCGTGGGTACATAGCTCTGCCTGCCTTCGCCTGTGGTCAAAATAGATGAACTAAAGCTACATGGGCCCCGCGTGGGTAAGCCTCAAAGTCAACCTGTCGCGTGAAAAAGCAGAGTAACCAGCAGCCGACTCCCCTTGGACACTCGATGTGATGCTGCCGGTCTGCAGGACGAGACGCGTGCCGTCCACAGGCAGCAGCACAGACATGCCCGGCCGTGCCCAGTTCTGAATGCAAACAGGTGGTCACGGGGCGCCTGGGTGGCTCAGTGGGTGAGCATCTGCCTTCGGCTCAGGTTGTGATCCCGGGTCCTGGGATCAAGTCCCGCATCGGGCTCCCTGCTCCGCGGGGAGCCTGCTTCTCCCTCTGCCCCTGCTCGTGTGCTCTCTCTCACCGTCTGCCTGTCTCTCAAATAAATGAATGAAATCTTAAAATCTGTTTTGTTTTGTTTTTCTAAAACAAGCAGGTGGTCATCTTGGTGGGAAGAGGCATGGGGAGGGTGACTCGGGGGCTCAGACCGCACTCGCAACCCCTTATTTCTCAAGGGGAATATGGTGGGTGCATGGCTGGTTGGTTATTTTATTCTTTATAGTGTTTTTTATATGTCTACCAATTCCATTAAAAAAAAAAAGAAAAAGGACAGAAAATGAGTGAGTTCGTCGAAGGCTTGACCATGGATGTGGCTTGAGCTGATGGGCTGCGGCTTGTGCCAGAATCGGCCATCTGCGGCCTGGGCCCAAACACAGCCTCGCAAAGACCCTGAGCTCACAGGGGCGGCGGGGGGGACGCTGTCATACGGCCCTTTGCCCTCTGGGAGGACCGGGGGTCTGGGGTCCTGGACGCAGGAGACCAGTCAGAGCGTGGGCGAGAGGTCAGGCTGCGGGGCAGGAGCGGGACGGCGGCAGCTCTGATGGGGGATCCTGCAAGGGCCAGAGGGACTGCGGGGAGCTGAGAAGCTGGGGGTCCAGGGAAGAACCCCACCTGGCCCCCGGTCGTAGCCCCCGGATGGCAGGGATCAGAGAAGGAGCCAGGAGGACAAGGAAAGGGTGTCCCGGGCCAGACGCTGCACAGCCCCCCCAGAGAGGATTTCGTGTGTCAGCAGGCGGTCCCAAGCGAAACCCAGATCACCGGCTTGCAGCTCTGGGCTTTGGCAAATTATGCCTTAGGCTTCCAAGCGGAGCCATGGAAGCGGCTGCCAAGTGCTGACGGCACAGAACCGGCCGGGCTGAGCACAGGGCAGCGATGGCCAGAGGAGACGGTGTCCACGCAGCCCGGGGCGCCAGTCTCCAGAGACCTCAACCCCAAACTCAGGAGCCTGCTCGCGGCCCATCACGGGGCAAGGCCCCGGGTCCCAGCCCGGCTGCTGGAAGGGAGGGAGGCAGGGAAGCACTCCGGCTGCAGGGGCAAGGAGCCCCAGACAAAAGCTGCCCCAGAAAGACGACGGGACCGGGCAGTCCAGTGGTTGGTGTCCCGCCGCGAACCCGGGGGGGTCGGGAGGGGGGAGCTCTTGCTTAACCACGGATGTGAATCATGCAGCCGCCCCGGAGACCTCCAGCCGGGCGTCACCCTTCCCTCCCCACACCCGGCCCCATCCCACACCACAAGGGGCCTCCGACACAGCCCTGTGGACATCCCGGCCTGTACACCCACACGCCCCGACACCACCACCCCCGTCCTGGGCGAGGAGCTGCCCCTTGGCCGCCCCGCCAGCCGGGGGTGCCCAGCCCACAGGCAGGTGCCACCTCCGATGGCTAGCCCTGGGGGCAGTTTGCAACGGCCCCGGAAATGGGCTCAAGACCATTGGGTAAGGAATTCTGGGGCAGCCAGAATGATCCAGAGCCGTCGAACTTCACAGCTGCCGGCTACATGTGGATATTAAGTGGAAATTCAGTTAATTGACTGAATGAGTAAAAAACTCAGTGCGGCGCGTGGCCACTGTACTGGACAGTGTGGATGTGGAACCGCCACGGGAAGCTCTGCTGGGCAGGGCTGGTCTGGGAGGTAGGATGTGGGCTCTAGGGGAGGCGGGGCCCTTCACCTCTGGGCCTCAGTGTCCTCTTCCACAAGAGGCCACCAGCACGACACACACACCGAAGCAGCAGGGAGAAGAGCTCGGCCAGCACCGCCGGGAGCCCGTTTACATGACACGGGTCAAGGCTGCGTGTCCGCTCTGTCGCGGGAGCACCCTCCCTTCTGCAGGGTCACAGGGAACAGGCGCCGTGGTCCATGGACCCACTGGCCCAGAGCCACTCAGAGTCAGAGCCACCCTCCCTCGGGCCGCCTGTCCCTGGACACCTCGGCGAGCGCGCCCTACGGCATCCACGTCCACCTCTCCCCTCTGCCCTTTGTCCTGCACCTTCGGGCTTCTGCTGTGGTCAACGGGCCTGAAAGCCACCTGCAGCAGAGCCACCAAAGACCAGTGCCTCCCTGGGCAGCAGGGAAGGGGCCCCACTCACCCGGGAAGGCAGGCGGGACGGAGCGCTGGGGATCACGGCTGAACACGCCACTTACCTGGGCCAGTGGGGTCGCCAAGCTTCCGGAGACGGTTGCTGGAGGTCCGCGTGACTCCTAAAGACAGGGGCAGAGGGCAAAGGTCACACAAGTGGGGGGTGGGGTGGTTACCACTGGGCATCTCCTCACCTGTCCTCCTGCCATGGGCTCCCTCGTCCTCCCAGGTGACACCCAGACCCGGTGGCCACCCGCAAGGACAGCCACTGCCGTCTGGATGCCGGCCGCTGGTGGGCACCAGGCCAAACCCTTTGCACACACCTTACAGCTGAATGTCAGTGGGGTTGAGGCCACACGGCTACTAGGAGTTGAGCCCAGAATGAACCCAATGTCCATCAAACTCCAAAATCGGGGCTTGGCCAAGGGTGCCGCACCACCCTGCCTGTCTGCATGCTGGCGAGTGGTGCTGGCACCCAGTCAGGCACCAGCCACCCCCTGGGACCATGCACGTCTACCCGTATCGTGAACTGAGATTTCCCTGCGCCAGGGTCCCGGACGCAGCCCCCTCTGCTCTGGGGCCGGGCAGAGCCAGGCTGGATGTGGGAGGGTGGAGGAGGAGCTGCTCTCTCCCACACCCCCAGGAGCAAGAACAGAGCCCAGATTAACACAGCCTCGTGCTGCACGTGCTCCGTCCCTGCACACACCCCTGGCGGCAGCGCGTGCTCCCCGCAGAGGCTTAGGGCAGGCAAGTCCCAACTCGAGGAGGTTTGCTGAGGTGCTAAGCCGAGCAAGCCTGAGGCTGCCAGGAAGGGTATCCATGGGAGCTGCGCCCCGGAAAGGGCCTGCCTGGGCCACCAGGCCGCGCTTTGGAGCTGCAGGGACACCCCAAGTTGGCCAACGGAGGCCCTCCCCACAGACAGCAGGAGGAGTGCAGAAGGGGCCCAGGGCTAAGCCAGAAACCTGCCCGCAGCCTCCACCATCTGATCCCCACCCGGAACGCTGGGGTCCCGGGTGCCTCCACAGAGGCTCTTGTGACATTCATTCATTCCCTCATTTGTCCCATAAACCCACTGCTGAACTATGGGCAACGGCGAGTGGACGCAGCCAGCACTGTTCCTGAAGGTTCCAGAGCCCCAGGCAGGGCGGCCTGCAGACCTGGCTTCATGTCCAGCTCCCCGGGGGACACGCACACTCTCCACATCGACAGAACGGGGTGCAGTCCGTCCTTCGGGGTCTGGTAGTGAGATACCTATCACTAAGCTTGGGCCGCTTTCCAGGGCTGGGGAGGACCCCAAGATATGCGATATTGGGGTCCTCCAATATTTGGGGTCCTCCAATATTTGGGGTTCAGATATTGAACACACCCTGAAACAACACCAAGAGGTGCATGTGGCACGGGACTCAAGGGCCCAAAGTAACCAGCAAGGCTTCCAGGAGGCGGGGAGGCCCAAGCTGTCCCTTGCAGGAGGCCGGGGGGATGCTGAGCCACGTCCACTCGCCGAGGCTCTATGACAGTCACCAGCTTGTGTCCTCTCCCCACTCAGCCCCCCAGGCAGGTGCCACCACTGCCATTTCAGGGAAGAGAGGCTGGGAAGTCCCCAGATGCCAAGTTCCCCTGCAGAGCCCCTGCCCTGCCCCAGCCACATCGTGTCAACTTGACTGCATGCCCAGGCGCCCAGATATTTGGCCACACAGTATTTCTGGGAGCGTGAGGGTGCCTGGGTGTTTCTGGACGAGGTTGGCGTGTGAATCGGCGGACTGAGTGCAGCAGGCCGTGCCCCCGGTGCTGTGGGCTTGAGCAAAGGAGGGAGGATGCTCGCGGCCTGGCGGGGACACTGGGCTTCTCCTGCCCGTGGACGGGGACGGCCACCCTCGGGTCCCCTGGTTCTCGGGCCTTCGGACTCGGGCTGCACGACAGCACCGGTATCCCGGGTGTTTGGCTTACAGACGGCAGCCTGCAGCGTCCTACGGCGTCCTGCGGCCTCCGCCACCACAGGAGCCCGTCCCCCGCGGGTCTGCTCCTCCAGCAAACCCTGACATACGGTGACCTCACCCGGCAGACACGCAAGCATCCGTCCAGGTGCCACCTGCCCTGACCGACATTGGCTCCCGACTGAGCCATGGAAACCGTCCGTCCTCGGGCGTCCAACCAGAACGCGGGGTTCCAGGCCGGCCTGCTGGACGCAAGCGGGGACCACGGCCTCGGGCTGCGCCAGTGGGTCCTGCATCGGGCTTCCGTAAGACAGGAGAGGGTGGCCCGAAGTGGCTCCGGTGGGGGCCCGGGGCCTGGGGGGCGTGGAGGGCGTGGGCCCCGCTCCCAGGGCTGCCCAGGCGTGAACGCGGCATCCCCAGCCTCCGCAGGCCTCCCCCCACAACAGCTGTGACCTGAGTGGGAGCGACACTGCGTGTAACCGGCCCTGAGCATCACCCTCAGCCCCAACTCGCACACGCGGGCGACGAGCCACGCAGAGGTCCCGCTGTGGCCCCCGTGGGCCACGGCTGTGCCTCTGAAGCCAGTCAGTCCCCAGTATGGAAACCGTCGGGGGTGAGACACAGGGAAGGAATGGGCCCAGCATTCCTGTGGATTGACTCACTTCCGGCTGCGACATCCCCTGGGCCGGCTGGACGCCCACCCGTGCCCCTGTCCCTGCTTCCGGCGAAGGGAAAAGGGGAGAGGCCCCATTCAGGTCCCCGAGCCCCCACCCCACACCAGGGGCATCTGGTCCCCCAGCCCCTCCTGGGCTCGCTGCCCCCCAAGCCCCGGGGTGGGGCTGCAGCAGCCGCTGCAACCAAAACAGCATCTGTCTCAGATTTCTTGGGTGGAGCTTTTGTTTTATTGATGCTGTTTATTTTTCCGATTTCCCAAAACACGCGGCTGGTGCCAGGCAGCCCCTGGCACGGAGGAGGCGCCGGGCACGCGGGAGGTGGCGGCCGCGGCCCCCGCCCCCGCACAGGCTCCCTCCCGCCCGCTGCCCGGCCTCCCGGGGCCACACCCCGGCCAAGAGCTACTGAAATCCGGCTCCTTGGACGGCGCTCCCGGCCGCGGCGGAGCCCAGCGGAGAGGGAGCCGGAAAGGCCTCCGAGCCATCCAAGGGCTCAGTTGTTCCAGTTGAGAATTGAGTTATTTTTATGTGATTTTAAAATAAAACATATTCCGGGGGAGAGGAGGCGATCTGGAATCTGGCTGGCTGGAGTCATCCCCGACCGAGCCACGTGAGTTCCCCGGGGCCGGCGGGCAGAGGAGCAAGGGTTCAAACCCAGGCTTCGCCAGGTGCTAGCGTGCGCCTCCCCCCACCCCGGGGTGGGGAATGACCTCCCGATCCGGTGTCGGGTACCCCCCCCCCACCGCGTGCAGCACAAGGCCAGAGCGTGGCGGCCGCACCCGTGTGACCGAGATTAGACGAGGTCCCACGCTCCGGGCACTCGGCAGGGCGCCTCGCACGAGGTAAGCGCTCAATGGATTACATAATTATTATCATTAGTAGCATATTAATCATAATCATCATCATTTTCAAATTATTATTATGCTCGTTATTCACCAGCCCCACATCCAGCCTGAACCCAGGGATCTATAAGCAGGAATTAACAAAGCTCGGCTGCCCCTGTGCTCATGCACGGGAACCGAGTGTGAGTTAGCGTGAGATCCAGAGGAAAACGGTCACTCTTGGGGCAGGGAGGGCTCAGCATCTGGACGCTCTCCCCTCCCAGACCCCGGCTACCCCAGAAACTCCGAGGCCAGGGCAAAGGCCATTTCATACAAGGTCACAAACTCCAGAGCAGTGACAAACGCCAGGAAGGCGTGACGTGTCGGGCTCCGAACCCCCGAGACTGAAACACCCTTCAGAGGAGACAAGGAATCTAACTAGACTCTCGAGTTCACGCATTATCGCTAGTTACGGTTTTGATGAGCGCACGGCCACGCACAGCCTCGGAGCCACCGTCTCCGCCCAGGGTCGCGCACAGCCTGGACATCCTGACCTGGGCGGAGGGTGACACCCCCTGAAACACACACACGTGCACCCCGTTCTGCTCCGAGCCAACAATGAATGAGGTCTGGACAGGACCTTCCCTCAATCAAGAAGTCACCGTTTTGGGATCCCTGGGTGGCTCAGCAGTTTGGCGCCTGCCTTTGGCCCAGGGCGTGATCCTGGAGACCCGGGATCGAGTCCCACATCGGGCTCCCTGCATGGAGCCTGCTTCTCCCTCTGCCTGTGTTTCTGCCTCTCTCTCTCTGTGTGTCTATCATGAATAAATAAATAAATTTTAAAAAAAAGTCACCGTTTTGCAGGAGGAGGCACTGTGAAAAGTCGCACCAATGTTTATTTTTAATAAAGAAAAGAAAAGCATCTGGGGCACCCGGGTGGGCTCGGATCATGATCCTGGAATCCCAGGATCAAGTCTTTCGTCGAGCTCCCCGCAGGGAGCCTGCTTCTCCCTCCGTCTGTGTCTCGGCTTCTCTCTGTGTCTCTCATGAATAAATTAATAAAATCTTAAAAAAAAAAAAAGAATCCATTTCAATTTTTTTTCTTCCAACTCCTGAGTTCGAGTCTCTCAGGAAAGAACGGGGAGGTCACAGCGACCTTGGCCCGCAGCCGCCTGCCCCTCGGCCTCTGAGCCCGGGGTGGGGGCCCCGGGACGCACCGTCTTCACCCCTTTCCCCAGGGCCCACAGAAGCTGGGAGAGGCTCCAGCAAAGTCAAAGGTCGCAGGTGGGAGTGAAAAGTCAGATTCTAGGCTTATCCTGAGAGGAACCTGAGATCAGGCGATAAGCGCTCCTCCCTCTCCTCCCAGCCTCCGCCCTTGGTGTGCTGGACAGGCGCGAGGGAGGAGGGGGTGTCCTCCCGGGGACGCCCCAAGCTCTGACTGCATCTTCGGGGGGGTGTTCCATCTCTCTGAGCCTGTGTGGGCACATCTCCGAGATGAAAACATTCATGAGCATTGACTGCACCGGGCGCTGTTCAAGGAGCGGGGAACAAGGGACCAGGAGTGGCCTGGCCTCTGGTGGCAGCGCTCGCAGCCTGGGCGCACAGGCCGGGAAGGTGCCAGCGGCTTCTGCACGCGGGGGCTCTGACCACCCTCACCAGGCAGCAAGGTCACCGAGAGCCAAGTCTGCCCCACGAC